TGAAGATGCTACGCCGAGTGGAAAGCGAGCGTGATGTGGAACGTATTGGCATGATGAAGGCTGTTTCAGCGCTGCATATTGCGAGTGGAAAACACCTCGACTTTAACGGTGACTGGATGATGGATTCAGGTGCTGCTACTCACGTTTGCACTGACGAGCGAGCCTTCGAGTCGCTAACCACGGACAACGCTTATTTTCAAGATTGGGAAGGAGGCATCAGTAGTGGAAAACCGTTTGGACGTGTTGTGCTTCGTGCGAGAAATGCAGATGATCCTTTGGGTGCCGGTGCTTTAATTGACTTGAAGGACACTCGGTTCACGCCAAAAGGAACTACGAATATTCTGTCTCAGTATCGTCTTGAAAAGGATGGTTGGGTGCCTTCTTACAATGATGAAGAGGACCCAGACAAGCGCTGCATGTACATGACTCGAGGTGGAGCTCGGTTGATTCTGGATAGACGTGGTGCTCATTTCTGGTTGAAAGCAACAACTTTGGACCCGAGTGAAGCTCAAATGTGCATGATGATGCCGTCCACTAAAGAGGCCCAAGTGCTGCGATGGCATATGAGGTTTGCACACCTCAATGGACCGGCGTTGAAGAAGATGGTGGAGTTTAGCATGGCAGCTGGGTTGGGTTCGCTTACTGCACATGACTTCAATGCGCCCATTGACTGTCACGCATGCCGTCTGGCTAAGGCAAAGAGAATGTGTCGTACAAGCGACACCATGGTAAACGAATTGAAGAAGTTGGAGCTCGGCTGATGTCGGATGTGTGCTACGTTGGTATAGAGACTCCGAGCAAGAACAAGTATTTTCAGTTGGTGCACGATGAAGCATCACGCTTCACGTGGGTTTTCTTGCTGCAACGCAAGAGTGAAGCTGCAGGAAATGTGATGGACGTTGTGCGTCAGGTGGAAAAGCGCTTCACGGTGAGAACTTTTTCTTGCGATCAAGGTGGGGAGTTTGTCAACGGTGTTTTGCTTGATTTTCTGCGGGAACGCGGGATTAAGTTGCTGACGACGAACCCGTATAGTCCCGAAGAGAACTGTCTTGTGGAAAAGATGAATGGTAAACTGATGAGCAAAGTGCGTGCCATCCATCGGGTGAACGGTTTGCCAGAGATGCTCTGGGGTGAGACCCTGCTCTTTGTGGTCAATGTGGACAACATGAGTGCGACTAAAGCGCTGCAGAACAAGACGCCGTACGAGATGTTCGAGCAGAAGAAACCAGACGCCAAGCAACTATTTGTTTGCGGTTGCGTGGGGTACTGCTTTGTGCCTGCTGTCAAGCGTAATAACAAGCTGGCTGATCGGTCTCGTCCTGTTTTGATGGTGGGATTTTCGATCTACACCGACGGATATCGACTGTTAGATTTGGTGACAGGTGACTTGATTGTACGTCGCGATGTGGTGCCGAAAGAAGACATGACTGTTGACGAATACGTTAGGAAGCTTCTCGAGAAGCGATACAATGGCAAGACGGTAAAATTGCCGAAGGAGATCCCTTTCATCGCGCTGCCGTGCAACCCATCGGCGTATCGTCCTCCAGCAATTGGTGGGAGTGATGACGGTGGAGCTGATCTTGCTGGTTCACACAGGCTAAGCGAGTTAAACGAATCAAGTGAATCGAGTGAAGATGGTGAAGATGGTAGCGACAGTGACTCTGATGCAGATGAACCTGGCGGGATCAATGGTATCGATGATGACGTTGAAATGGAAGATGCTGATCCAGACGCTGATTTCGGTGGGAGTGATACTGCTAGTGTTATTGGAAGCGGTGGGAGTTTGAGCACTGCAAATAGTGGTGTAAGTGCACCAAGTGCGGCTGCACCAAGTGCAGCATCTACCACCGACCCGAGGGCTGCACCAAGTGGGGCTACAGGAAGTTCATCAGTGACGGTGCGTGGTAGTGGTGCTCGTCGATCGCGACGGCCACGTCCACGACCAGTAGGTCCGCCGCGTCGATCGACTCGTGAACGGCGACGGACGACCCGTTTTTTTTGTGTTTTGACCCGAGTACGTACGTGATGGCAACGACACTATTGCAGTGCATGCTGATTGGAGTGGTTAACGAACTACTGAACCCGACGAGCGTGCGAGAAGCGATGGCATCGCCTCAAGCGGCTGAATGGAAGGCTGCTATGGACGTGGAATATTCGTCGCTGATGCGAAATGGCACGTGGGAGCTGGTGGACAGGCCGAAGTCGACAAAAGACAATCCCGTGAACATCTTGAAGTCTCTCTGGGTGCTAGTGGTGAAATGGAACGAAAAAGGAGAGATTGAGCGTCACAAAGCTCGGCTGGCAATTAAGGGTTGTATGCAGAAATACGGCATCGACTACTTAGCTACTTATTCTCCTGTTGTGCGCATCGAGTCTGTACGTCTCGTGATGGTGCTAGCATTGGTTCTAGCTTTGGATCTGCGGCACATTGACTTCGTGACGGCTTTCCTAAACGGAGTGTTGACCGGGGTGACCATTTACATGGAGCAGCCCGAAGGCTACGACGATGGTACTGGACGTGTGTGTATCCTGCGGAAGGGATTGTACGGTTTGAAGCAGGCGTCTAGGATCTGGAGTGAAACGTTGAAGAAGTGTCTGATTGCGTTGGGCTTTCAGCAGTGTACTTTTGACGTTGGCGTCTTCTGGAGAATGGGTGTCGAGGCTGTTGTGATCTTGACGGTGTACGTTGATGACATAATCATCGCTGCGAAGCCAAAAGATTACAAGTTGGTTGTGGAACAGCTTGCAGATAAGTATAAGTTGAAAGACTTAGGCCGTGTGAAGCATTTACTGGGGATGGAAGTTTCATACAAGCCTGGCGAGATGCTAACGTTGGTTCAAACGGCTTACATCGAACGCATGGCTATTCGTTTTGGCTTGCAAGATGCGAGAATGGCTCCGTCGCCGCAGATGTACAACGAGCCAACGCTGCCTGTGGAGAAAGATCAAACCAAAGTCAATGATCCGAAGCTACCTTATCGTGAGATAGTGGGCTCGCTGCAGTATCTAGTGGCGTGTACTCGGCCTGATCTGGCTAATGCAGTAAGGAACCTTTGTCGATACGCAAACGCATACACTTTGGAGAACTTTCGTGCGGCACAGCGAGTTGTTCGGTATGCGCTGGCAACTAAGACATTTGGATTGGTGTATAAGCCTCATCAAGAACCATTGACATTGGAGGCATATGCTGATGCGGATCATGCGCGCTGTCCAGAGTCGAGTAAGTCTGTGTCGGGCTTTGTAATGAAACTGAATGGATGCGCCATTAACTGGCGAAGCAAGAAACAGGAGCGGGTGACAACGAATACGTGCAGCTCGGAACTGACGGCTATGCACTCGTGCCTAGAAGACGTGCTGTGGGCGCGACACTTGTTGAAGGAGCTGGGATTCACCGAGACGGTGGAGACTACTCTCTTTTGTGACAACCAAAGTGCGTTGAAGGCGGTTGAGAACAACGGTAACTCGGATCGCTTGCGTAACTATGCTAAGGTTATTCGCTATATAGCTGAGCAAGTGGAAGCTGAAGGTGTGCTGTTAGAGTACGTGCCGACCACGGATAACTTGGCAGACGTCTTCACCAAAGCTCTGGGGCCAGTGCGGTTCAAGCAACTGCGTGATGGCTTGAGTGTGGCCGACGTTGAGCAGTGCTGGTTGGAAGCTCGCCATGAGGCGAGGCGAGTGCCTAGAGGCACGGATGTGGACATTGTGATGGAGGCAGCGAATGCTGCACTCTTATAGTTTCACAAAGTTGCTGGATGGCTATGAGTGGCTACAACGCGTAGTGATGTGGGAGTGTGAGATCCTGCAGACTCGAGATGACCTGAGCTGGTCATCGAGTGCAGGATTGGTAGTCACTTCTTGTTGTTGCACACTACATATTTGAGATGAATTAAAGCGACTAATAATAAAAGATGTGATTGAGGCCGTGGTCATGGAGAGATGCAAGACGACTGTGACGTGTAGTCCAAACAGTTGTCGTCTCTCCGCTGCTCGAGGCAGCCTGCAGTGACCACCGGGGCCAAAAGGGGTTTCACGCTTGGTGCGTTCCCCTTAGTGAACACATCACTTTGCAATTGGCTAACTACTTCTCAAGCCCTTTTGGCCTTCAGACTCTACTCGAACGACTTGTTCTCCTAGCTTTGAAAGTGAGCGTTTGTTGCAGCAAACAGGAAATTTATGCGGCCTGAGAGCAAACGAATTGTTTGGTGGTGGCGCGTGCGTTGAGCGATCAGTTTGAGGTGAGCTACATTAAATGTTGTACAAGTGGTGTATCACGTCATCCCGCCAGTACGATAACGATCTCCATGCAGGATAGCTGTATACCTACCGGTATAAACCGGTACTGTCGAGTAGACGAATGGCTGACGAAGACTGAAGACGAAGATTGAAGACGAAGACTGAAGACGAATTGTAGATGAACGAAAGGGCATTTGATTAGCCATGAGCAGCAACAATCTCCACCTTATGTTATTCAGCCGCATCCAACACCTGACCGAGAACGTTCGGAAACGCACAAATTGGGGGTTGAAGCGCTCGGCCTGCCCGATGCGGACTGGGATTCAGGCCGTCCGCAAAGATAATACCTCGCGTTTCTGGAAGATTATACGTACAGCTCGAAGCACACAACACAAGATAGCAGTGGAGCCGGTAGTTGGTCTCGTCGCAGTGAATGCCATTGTGAATGAGATATCCACTAAAACGAACACAAAAGCCGGCAGGAACGTTGACGACGGCTGACTTGGTGTTGTCTCTCACGTCAAAGCATTCAGTTCGTTTCTGGCTACAGTGAAAAACTTGCGCTGGCTGGAACTCCTCCTGAGTGAGCAGATTGAGCTCTCGCGACGTCTTGGCCCCGATAGTCCTGGTCGAGCTTTTGCTTGTCCCCACCAGGATCGGAGCGCGTGAACGAGAACACGTTCGGCACCTAGCCTGGGTGGATTTATGTTAACGATCACTTGCAAAACAAATCGTAGCGCTTGTAACGAGGTCGAAAGCTCCGTCTACTGCACGCGAGACTGCCAACGGAACGTATCGTCGCCGCCACCAACTTTGTTGAATACACCCTGATAAGTGGGGTCCTTAGCTTCTGTCGATAGATAGGGCGCGACTTGGTCCGAAAGAACTAGACCCACAGGTAGGTAGCCATGCGGGAGTAGCAGCCCAACGGGCTGAGCGTTTGCCATATTAATGCTGATCTGATAGTGAGCCGATGTAACAGGAAGAGCGGATGTAACGGGTAGCTTCCCGTTACAAAATAGATCCTCGAAAAGTAAGTACCGGTAATTACTAATTGCGTATTTTTAAGCTAGGGCCCTCCGGACAAGGGCCCTCGTTAGTTTCTTCCCTTGAAAAAAAAATAACCAAAAGTTAGCACCTTGGATGGCATTTTTATTTAGGGCTGGATGCAATGGCCATATAGCCATACATGAACGATACACTATAGAGAACTTTCGGAGTCTGTTTTTCGTGCACGTTTCAGCTTCATTTCGAGATAGACGTACTTTAGGGGTTGTATGTCAACTCAAACGTGTGTAGGTTTGAGCTAGTGACCATGGTTCCTCAAGCCTACCCCCGGTTGATTTGAGTTGAGATGGAAGGCGCTGGTAGTATTCCAGAACGCTCACGATGGTTGTTGACCCACAGTTAACTGCGACCCAAGCGGCGGAGATGCTAGCGGAAGCATGGAGTCTTGCCCGTGGCAACACAAAGTATTTTTTTTAAGGATTATGAAGACGCTCAAGAAACTACACTGCTTTCGGCTACGTGAGGCAGCCGCTGTTGTTGATTCTTCTCATTGCTTTGACGAAATGATGGACAACGCAACTGTACGCGTTAAATTTCGCTTTACTGTCGCTCAATTGAAACAACCTCTGGGTTGGGGCTGCCTAGCGATGGAGTACGAACCAAAGCTGGAGATAATGTTCCGCGAGTCGAAGCGCTAGCCATGGTTTGTCGAAGGCTTTCGGAGGCGTCTACACTTTTCACAGTAGCTTCTGAATTCGGAAGATCTACGGCAGCCTATAGCCGTGTTGTCGCGGCAACCGTGGCGTTGGTATACAAAACACAAAAAGATGTACTGTACTTTAATGAAGCGCTGAACACGGCAAGAATTGCAAATTATTGCCCGGCTACTCAGAGTTCTGGCGCCGCGCTCCAAAATTGCTGGTGTCTTATTGATGGCACGAGACAGTACATATCACGACCCAGTGCTCGTGACAATGGATGTATACCCAATGAGAATCTGCAACGATCAGTCTACAATGGTCAATTGAGAAAACACTGCTTCAACTGGCAGAGTATCCAGGCACCTGACGGAATAATCGTCTGCATGTTTGGACCAGTAGAAGGCCGAAAGTATCATTCTACTATGTTGAGGATTAGTGGGGTGCTGGAGGTGATGGCAGAGAACCAGGATGGCATCTTTTCAAACCAAGTGATTTACGGTGATCCAGCATACGGGTGCAGCAGATTCGTTTGTTCACCATCGCCGGTAGACAGTAGTGCCAGTGCAACATTTAACAAGGACATGAGCAGCGCACGTGAAAGTGTTGAATGGGGGTTTGGGCGTATAAAGACGCTATGGGAATTCCTGGACTGGGATAAGAAACAGCGCGTCCGTCAAAGTGCTGTTGGGCTAAACTTCTATGTTGTTGTACTGCTTTTTAATTGCCACCCCTGCTTACAGCAATAGGGAGCCAAATTTCGATGTATTTCTGTTTGATGCCCCCACCTCTTGCAGTTTATCTAGGCTTAAACCAGCTTCATGATGGAGCACTACGTGAGTAGTTCATTGCGTTTGCTGTTCAAGTATTTTCAATATAAATTCTTGAATCTGCTTATCACGATCTTCATCGGCTTGACGACGACGGTCTTCGAGTTATAGATCGTGTGCTCGCCGCGTTTCAGCTTCTTTAGTAGCATGCAACCTCTTTTTGTCCTCTTGTTCCCGCTCAAAACTGAAGGCGCTGCATCTTGTACTGAAACTTGTCCTTTTCGTCTTCGCTGGCTTCCAAAAGATCACTAGTTATCCCGTTAGTTACTACATCTAGCCGCTCCCTTTGGTAATTTTTCTCTAGCGACCGCTATTGGCATCTGGAGACGATCGAGTGGCCCGCCTGCTGGAAGTGGCAACACCCACAGTTCTAGACAAAATTGATGCCTCCACCGATTCACTGGCTGAAACTTCAAATTGACTATCGTCATTACAGCCCGCTTGCCTTTCTGCTTCTTCAGAAGCGATTTCTCCCATCGTGAGACTATGGAAAGCTCGCCTGAACGTTCAATACCACGTTGCTTTGCTGTTTGCTCCTCCTTGCGTTGTGCCTCTTTATCCTCCCAGTCATTCATTAGCGCAACTAATAATCTGAAGTAACATTTCACGCTTGGCATACTCCTCCACTGTTTCTGACTTCCTCATCGATTGACAATGGTCTGTCTTGTACTGATTAACGAGATTTGTGAAGCGAGTGCGCATTGCTGTACGATTTATCTAACGACAATGAATAGCGATGTCATCGAAGACTTTCATGATGCCCTTCGACGTCCCAACTGCAGCGGTCCAGGGACGGACGGTGTTCATGGCCTTGAGCAGCACTATATCGTGATCAGAAGCGAACTTCTGGCGCGATGACGGTCGAGCAAGAAGCGCTTCTTTCTCCTGTGCCTGATTCTCTTCACCCATTTCTTCAGCACTAGTGTCAACTCCCCGTGGTAGCCTATGCTGATCGTCACGCTGACCGGTCGTAGACATCGCGGAGGTTACGGTGAAGTGTGTGGGGTGCGCGAGGTGCGTGAGCTATCTGAAAATGGAGCTGAAAAATGGGGGCAGTTCCGGAAATAGCATTTGAGCTTTCTGTTGAGATATCAAAATAGCGGCTATCTGGAACTGAAACTCAACTCAAACGTGGTTCCGAAAGTTCTCTTATGTTTGCGTTGTATTCTTTTCATAACCCATCACCAAGTTTGTCGTTAAAAACAAATCTAGTTTTGTTCGTGAATGCAGTGAAGTACATGCACAAAAATCTTAATTCAAGCTAAATTCACAATGTATGTCTTGGCTTAGACAGCCTCGGAGTAGTTTTTTTTTGTGTCATTGCATTGTTATCTACAACCCATCTCATTAAAAACCGGTTTGAAAGGACTCTTCAAGAACTAAACGCTGGCCCTAGGACAAACTTGGCATAGTCCTTCGTACTTGAACGAGTTCTCTGGATTTTAATTAAGCGTCCATGAAGTGATAGGAACTCCTAAATATTAGTACCTTATAGCTCTTACTGAATCGATTCATCAAACTCGGAGAACGTGTTCAAACGTATCTGTCATATTTTAACCAGCGTTGTGCAGTCAATTATTGATATATATATATATATATTGCTGAATTCGCGCCTCCACTCAGTATTGTATTTCTTTATTTTAATTGTATTACTATTACGTCGGTGATACATTTTCTGTCCTGAACTTAAGTACATTTTTTTTTTAGTAAAATACGATTTACATTCCTCATAATTTAACCAATATACTATTTTGACCAAATCAATACACATATTGGTACAATAGTAATGATGGCGCCAGAACAAATCCCAATTAATTATTAATACTATTGCCCCAACGCAGATTTTAACTTCGTAGCGATTTATTAATATATATTCCGTTAATGTTGACTCCCCCTCACAAAATTACATCAAATTTCGTTTCATCGTGTACTGCAGTGTCATTGCTGGTGAGACAAAACAACGTAAATTGTCCCTGTTACACGAGAGGTAGTAGCAGAAAACATTATGAACCGACAAAACTGATTTTGTCTCCATTTTATCAATACATTCACAAAAAAAATGAAACTTTGGTTCTTCGAACGATTGGCCATTGAACGAGATCACCCACATCAATGAGCTATTTCAATGAGTTATTTCACCCTAGTCGGTTCCTTGACATTTGTTTGAAGAGCGCTTTCATCGTTCGGGGCGCTGACAGTAGCTGCTGCACTCATCTTGACACTCGCTTGCACTACGCTGTCACCTTTAAGAGCCCCAACGCCAAAATTCTTGGTCGCTGCCGAAAAAGAACCTGCTTCAGCCACCTTGGTGTTTCCGATACGACTCTTCAAGTTGCTGATCTTCTTGATCACAGCGTCTTTCGAGTTGCTGACAAACGAGCCGCTCTTGGTAAGAACATTCAACTTGCACGGACGACCGATGCTCGCCTGACAGTCACCGGCAGCATTCGGAATGAAAATACTTCCTTTTGGGTCGGGTTGGTTCGGGGTGCTAACGGAGTTAAAGTAGTTGCCCTCCGCAAGGACAAAGCCTCCGGTGGCCACGTCAAATGCGTGACCTGTGCCGTCGAAGAAGTAGTTGTTGGCGGCGTGAATGACAGAAACTTCTCCGTCGTGACCTCCGATTTTCGGAAACCGACCTGACATTTTGTGCATATAATTCCCCAGCAAACTCATCTCTGTCTGCTTGCCTAGAATCAAGAAACCCCAGTAGTGGCGGCCGTCGCACGATGACGAGTACTTGGTGTTGCCATCGAAGTCCGAGTTACTGATCGTGACGCCCGTGGCTCCGGAGAAGTTGATGACCACCATCTGACGTCCGACACTGGAGACCTTCACGTGGTCGATCCAAATACCTTTCGGCGCAACGTTGCCGTTTCCTCTGATGGTGATAGCGTCTCCGCCCCACACAAGGTGCGGGTTTAAGTTGTTGATGTGAATGTTCTGGACGATGACGTTGCTACCGGTGATCATGAGACCCTTGCCGTTTAGAACGCCCTTCGTGCCTTCGCCAACCAGAGTCTTGTTACTGCCAACAGTTAGAGGAGTGATGGCCGCTTTGTCGTAGGTCACATCGACTGTAGACCCATCGCATTTGCTGAAGCTTGGCTGGATGGCATCTTGTCCTTGGAATCCGTTCTTCTTGGCGATGCAGTCGAGGTTGTTCTTGGGGCGGCACCCTTTCTCGGTAGTTGAACCCTCAGTGTTGATAAAGTTGAATTGCTGTTTCAGGACGACAACGCGGGGTGTGTTGTCACTAAGGTACGCAGTAAGTTCCTTGATCGTGGTAGGATACACAGCCTTAGCATTGCCGCCACCAGTTGTACCGGATGCGAAGCCTGGGGGTGTACCAGTGACGACAGAGGCAGCATGGGCGAAGCAATTTTGCGTTAATATGAAAGCGAGCACCAAACAGAGGAGAATGGAGACTTGTCGGGAGCTGCGTGGCATTGGTTCGTCGACAAAACTGCAGATTGTGCGTGAGGAAGAGCAAGCAAAAGTGAAAGTGAGTCAGGATCAAGTCTGCTACAACTCTGCGTTGTGATGGCGGCTATAGAGAATATGTACACCCTACGACAGTGTCAACGACTGCCAATCTAACCGCGTTCTGGTAAGCAGTGTACGCGTGCAATGGTACGAAACTCTTGTGATTTCATCTCAAATCTAACGGCTGGCGGAACGGGAGGTGCTGGAGCCTCTGCCAAGGCAATGCTGTTGTGAATGAAAGCTAACAAAATGTATCAAGCGAGTAGCTTCCATCTGTGTACGAGGTTAGCTTAAGCCAGATGAGTGGGTACTAATCTCCACCTGGAAAGTTAGAACAGTTTTCTGAGCAAAATGATCATGATGAACTTGTTTTGCTTTGTTTTCTCTGCTACAAAAGCCCTGCCATAATTAGCAATGCCACTCTGGCACCGGAGACAGCACAAATCCATGCCTGATTAAGATCTGTGTTCGAGCACGCAGGTTTAACCCCAGGACTAAGCATAGCTAAATCTCGCTAGGCCTTATAGGTTAATGCACAGGAAGGTGTTTTTGCAGAGTAGTAGAATTTCTGTCGATTCCTCCAGTGTTGGAGTCACACGACCCCAATTCACTTGCTGTGGCAATATCCTCTGTTTTTGGCTCTGCAGTCCGACGTACAGTGAGCGCCAACATAAGGTGCAGTAGGGTAGAGAGTTAGAAAAACGAAGCACCTGGTGATGACCAATCGCTTCTTCAACCGGCCGAATCCTTGCTTACGATTTTTTTTTGTCTCCTTCAGTACTCCAACAAGTAGCCGTGCTAAGCAAAGGAAAACATCGCCGTTTCAAAAATAAATACTACTACTAGTAACTAATTCTCAGAAGGGAAATTCCATCTGAAAATGTTTATCTGGAATAATTTTACTTTAGAATCTTAACCCATTTTGTTTTTCGCGCCTTCTTAGCTTTCAGCCCCACTTCCCTAAGTTGATCACACTTGCCGATTTTCAATTGAGAAGTTACTTCCAGCGAAAACAAGATAAAATGAACGCACACCTACCAAATAATTTCAGAATGTACGGGCGTCTTCGCATAAGCTACACGCTCTCTGGCCCGATACTGTTGATAGGTGCTTCAAGTGGTATGGTACCGAATTCATCTCGTATATGTATGATATCAATTTTGTTTTGCTTTGCAGTTTTTAAAACAGTCCAGCAGGGTCCGCCCTAAACGTCCTAAAAAGCGACTATCTCACCTGGCGAGTGCAATGCGCGGCTCGCTGAGAGCTCGGGACTGGGCCCGCCTACGCAAATACCCCGCAGCCCTGCTTTGTGGGCGGTTTACGTACGCGTGCACTCGCTCGCCTTATTTGGTCTCAGTAAAACCAAAACAAAATTTAGGACAGTTTTTAAGACACGATTGTTTCAGAGCACTACATGTGAACAAAGGTACCGACTTCGATGGTACTTCAGCAAGTTTCATTAGACCTCCCAATTATTTACATGCAATAATACCGATGCCAGATCATCACCAGAGCGGGGAGGTTGGACACGAGTTCGACTCTAATAACTGTTTGATCTAGCTATCGCAGGCTTGTTCTAGCGGGCTAAGCGAAGAAGGGGGGGGGGGGGGGAATCAAACGACACACATTATTAGCTGACTTCAATTATTTTGCTTGCCTTAGGCAAACGGAGTACTGTATTCACTCAAAGCTACGCGCAGAAAAGCCCATGAATGAAATTATGAGTTCTTCGAGAGTCTCTCAGGCGGGTACACCCAGATAATTTACATCCAAGCAACTACTTGACCAACCTGGGTACTTGTTTGGAGAACGCTTTCACCGTTCGGAACGCCAGCAGTAGCAGTCACAGTAGTCCAGAGATTGGGCTTTGACACAGTATAAGAACCAACCACACTATTTTTCAAAAGAAATATCTGGTTTGGATTGCAAAATAACCTTCTTTTGAATTCGAACTGTACAAATTATACTGTAAGAACTGGAAATGTTAGCCATTCAACAATGGTTGGTGGTGAGCCCTGCATGCAGTCGTGAGGCAAGTAAACTACTGCAGAGTCTCTGGGCTATACGACCTTGCTCCGCAACCTGCATTCAGGCAACCAAACATGTGGGTTTTTGCATATACTAGTCCAGTATGTTATTGATACTTTAGCACGCATGCTTTCCTGGGTTCAATTCAAGTGTCAATAGCTCGCTTCGACAGAGCAGCCTTTTCCTCAACTTTGCCTTACGTCGGCGGACTGCGAGCTGCCTTCAGCAAACGTTGCGTCTTGGTCACGGCCATGACCGCACCCACACCGGCACGGAACTTACTGCGTGCAGTCAGACGCCTAGCCTCTTTCAAGTTCTTGCCAACCGACAGGACCGGTGCATCGTCATCCGCTTCCTTAATGTCGCTGAACCATGGGTGATCCAATACCTGCTGCGCTGTCAAACGCTTCGACGGCTGCACTACCAGCATTTTGCAAATTAGATCCTTGGCCTGCTGCGAGACACCGTCAAAATACGGCGCCACAAACTCAAAGTCGCCGTTTAGAATCTGTCATTATAGAAACCAAGCGTTGTCAGCCACCTTTTCTTTGCGTCATTATAAACTCACACCATAATTAACCTTTCGCATTTCCTCGACTTGGTTCTCATCGTAGAACGGTGGGAAGCCACACAGCAGAATGTACGTGATAACCCCGAGACTCCAGATGTCGCACTTACTATCGTACGGCAGCTTGCGGACGATCTCCGGTGCGTAGTAGCCTGGAGTCCCGCACATCGTGGACATGTTGGTCTCCTCTGTCACGAGCTTGGCAAACCCGAAGTCGGCAATTTTGATCACCGCACTTTCAGTCTCATCTGCGTATAGCAGGTTTTCCGGTTTCAGATCGCGGTGGGTTACACCTTCAGAGTGACAGTACCGCAGCACTTTTGCCACGACTTTCACCACCTTTTTCGCCTCCGCTTCGGTGTAATATTCCTTGGCGATGATACGATCGAAAAGCTCTCCACCTTCGGCGTATTCCATCACCAGGAAGCACATGGGACCATCGCCATCGTACACATCGCACAACTTGATAATATTCGGGTGGTTTAACTGCGAAAAGTAAAAAAAAATTCGTGGGTTAGCACCATTTAATTGTGTATCTAGCTGACAACGCGCTTACATCTTTGAGGATCTCGATCTCCTGCACCAAATTGCTGCGGTCCTTGGGGTTAAGTGCCGCCTTGTTAATACACTTGACGGCAAACCGCTCTCCAGACTTCCGGTTGGTGCATTCCTTCACAATGGAAAAGTTGCCTGTTAGGATAACTCAGTTAGATAAAAAGAAGAAAAAAGAAAAAGCAACATTGCCAACCTTCGCCGATAACACGCCCGATGCGGTACTTCTCATTGAAACCAGCAGGGACTTGGTCAGCCATGTCGTAGATCTTGCGAGATTTACACTGAGTGACCCTGGCCTGCCAAGTGCCGCCAAGAGTGCGAGGGGCGACGAGTGGGTCTGAGCGCTAAGGAGTCCGGACAACCGCCTAACGCCTAAAAATACCATGATATGCACCAAAGTCACGAAATCCTGTCAAAACAGATCGACAATGGCAAAATGTAGCCATGTTTCTGATAACGAATGACTTGTCAACCTCAACAACTATGTAGTGTCCTCTACGTGCTCGCTGCCCTTGGCGACCCTATACAAAACAAACCATTGGTCTTCTCGCTGTCATTTACCTAATCGATGGCTTGGAACGTCAGCACCACCGGCTTGGGGACGTTGCGTAGATGCATAGTCGACCGCTCGAAGCCCAACTGACGGACGTCCTTGTCTCCGATCTTGATCAGGAGATCGCCCACAGCCACACGACGCAGACCAGCACATGTGGCCTTGCCGGTGCGTTTGGTAATAAGGACCACTGAGCCCTGTTTCGACTGTGCCTCGCGCACGGTGAAGCCGAACGGACCGTCCGTCCACTGGATCTGGTAGTACGCGTTCGAGTCGATCTCAAAGAACTCGTCCTCCTCCATTTGAGGTGCATTCTGTTGGAACGACGACTGCTGATAACGCTGTTGCGGCTGTGTTTGTTGGAACGACTGTTGTTGCTGCAAAGGCGCTGGCTGATACGGGGATTGCGACTGATACCCATTGTCTCCGTAGCTCTGGCCTGAAGCGGTTTGACCGAACGTCAAGTCTTCGGTCATCTGCACAGGCTGCGGCTGAGTCTGGTATTTGCTCGAGTGTTGGTGACGCGACATAGTGAAGGAACTGTTGCTTCGTGCACTTCGGTATCCAAGCAAGCCAGGAGTCTCGTTTTCACTGGCAGCCGAGTTGCTACGGGACGCAGAGTGGCTCCGTACTGGCGCCGGTGGGGCAACTGCATTGCTCACAGAGCGCACAGGTGACGACGATCGCTGTGGTGCGGCGATACTCATCGCTGCCATTTGCGCGGTCGGCAACGACGAACTCTCCTTTAGTTTGGGAGGCGAGTTTGCCTTCGCTCTGTTGGCCGGAGGCCGACGGAACCGAATGACTGCCGGCTTAGGTACGTTCATAATGTACTGCATGGTCTCGTGGAAGCCGTAGTCCTGAGCCGATCTGGTGTTAACCAGGATAATCTCGTCGTTCTCCTGTACTTGCGAGAGTTGCTTTGACGTTCCCTTGCCCGTAAATGACCGCACATAAGGCAGCCCCTCCGGTGAGGTGCCCACCACGAGCCCGAGAGATCCGTACTCCCACAAAAAGTCGTATTCTCCTTCTCCCAACTCTGGCAACTCCATTTGCAGCTCCTCCGCCAGAGGCTTCCTGAACCGCAATGTAATAGGCTTGGGTAACTCCTTGATAATGTTGATAATGGCCGAGATCGAGTGGTCGCATGTCGGCGTCTGGTTCACGTACACCAGCTCATCTCCGACGTTCACGTCCCTCTCAAGCGCGGGGCTGTCGGCTTTGCCCGTGAATCTCTTGACTAGAGGCAATTTACTCTTCGGGTCGGTTGTTAGGACAATTCCAAGCGGCCCAGACTCCCACAGATACGTGTATTCGTTGGGGGCGAGGTCCGGGAGGTCTTTGGCGGCCGAACCGTAGGGCGATAGCTGCAGTGTGAGTCGTACGGGCTTCTGCACAGAGCGCAGCAGCTTGGTGGCGTTGCCCGCGCCCAAATGGTAGACCTTCTCGTCTCCAATGGCGATCAGCATGTCGCCCGGCACGACGTCCTGCAGTCCAGCGGTGGCGCTGCTAGCAGTGCGGCGTGCAAGGCACAGCACAGTGCCCCGGTCCGACTGCACGGGCGTGACGGTGAAGCCGAAGGCCGCGCCGTCCGCCCACTCGACGACATACATCTTGCGCTCATCTAGTCGCACGTCCACGCCCGTTTGCGCTGTCTGCAGCGCGTCCGCGGCGTCGGCCATGGTGCAGGCGGGACGAGGTGATCTCGATAGTGGCGTAACGCTACTAAAGTAGGCGGTGTGCAAAAACTACGAGCGGCATGAGCTCTTTGCAAATTAATGCTGATGTTCAGCACATTTCACTTAGTGCAATAAGAACTGTTACTTGTGATAATAAATATAACTTGCGAAACAGATGGCTACCTTCACTCTATACTCAGGAAACAACAACAGTACCTCTTCGATGAAAGCGTGGGAGAAAACGTCTGAGCAACACACACACCCGGCGAAAGCGACGGCGCCACATGGACGACGTGTCGATCGAAGCAACGCTCCTCGCGGCGGGTTCAATCAAATAGGGGGCGAAATGGAGTATCGTTGGTGGCGAGGGCCCCCCCACGGCCACCGAAAGGCGAAAGTCTCTAGTTGCACCCTTCTCTGCTTCGTCGTCCGGTCGCACCGGAAGGACGGCCATGACCGCGTTGCCTGTTGTAAGCTTAATCCCTCCAGTTGTCTCTAGGCATTGCGTAACAGTGTTGGCATTGCTAGTCCGCTCATGGAGTTGCGCTGCTGCTGCCGTTTCGGTAGTGGTCAGCGACGCTTCCAGCTTCGAACCTGTTCAGCAGTGGTGCTTCATTGCTAACGTGGCGCTTCTGGTTTCGCTGTGCCTTGTGCAAAACTATTATACTGAGTCGTTCAACGTGGTTTTTGAAATACACGATAGCTCTTCCTATGAACATTTTCAACGACACGGATCAACCTTCTTGGCATACAAATGAAGGATCTCCATTGCAGATTGGCTCGCTTTCGACTTCAACTTGCATCGTTTTGCATCGAAATGATCAATAGCGAAATTGCTACTAAGGGGGCTTACAACTAGTGCTGCATCGCGCCGGAATCTAAACCGTTCAATATTGTCGACTTCCAAGTGGCATCAATACGGGCGAAATCTAAATCCGAGTTTAAAACCTGCGACAAATCTAAATCCGACTGTAAAACCTCTTATTACACCCCTAATTACGGTAATTTCCCTCCTTACAAATTTCAAGTTCACAATAAAGTCGTAGCGAACAATGGCAACAATAATGCTTGCGTGGCTCGTGGTGCTGAGCGCCACGGTGCTGACGCTTGAGATCCAGCGTCGGCTGCTGCTCGCGCGTATGTTGGGTGCTTTGGTGATGCTGCTGGGCTGGGGCTTTCTGCTGTCATCCGAGTTGCAGCTCAAGGCTGTGTGCTGTGCCGTCGTGTACCACGGACTCGCGGAGGGTCTACGCCAGTGGCAGCGGAGCTTCCCGTGCGTATTCGAGCGTCGAAAGGACCGTAAAGTGGTGCTGTGGCTGCTTTTCTGGGCGCGTGTCTTCATCTGGGGTGCCACATTGGGCGGAATCGCCATCTTCACTCTTCTAACTAGGTCCCAGGAGTCGACGAAGAACTCCCCGTCCTATTGGCGAGAGGCCGCGATGTTGGCGTTTTACTACGAAATGGTGGAAGTACTGGTGATGCTGTATTTCGCAGACGAAGAGCTTCCTTACTTGTGGCACAAGCGGATAGGCCACTGGCTCGGTGCGTTGCTCGTGGGGTTCCTAGAGAGCTCTGGACGACTGGATGCCGTAATACGAGGCCCCATGTTGGCAGGCATGTCACCGTTGGCACTCGTTGGCGTGCTACTTATGGTCATGTGGCTGTCGATCGAGATCCCGTGGGATCGCATCGCTGAGGCGACAAGTCCGAGTTTGGCTGAGGAGGATTTATACGATAAAATGCAGCCGCCAGGGCATAACGGAGTGGACGAGAGGTTTGAAAGATCCAGAACAAGCTGCAGGCGAGGGCTGTTTGTAGAGACAAGCAGAGACAAAGGCTTCAGCTTCCGACTGTGAAGAAATGTGCTCAAGAACTCCAGAACTGGCAGACCTGCGTGGACTACAAGACCAAGAATCATACCCGTTGACATGGCTCTCGACCAGTGACATTCGTACTCTATCACTCTACATATAGTATTTATTATCATTGATTCCAGTCGTCATTGTTGCGTTAAGTTGCTTCGTGCTGAACTGCATCGATTTCTTGTTGGTCGGGCGCTCAAAGGTGGTAGCCGAATAGTGTCTGGGAAGATATCTTCTGTGGCCTCCAATTTGGTCGCTGTCGTGGGTGCTGTAGCGATACGTCTCAGTCTTAAGGGTGAGATCGAGGGAGTCTCATGGCCGTTCTTTAGATCACGCATTGGTGGCAATCGTTTTGATCCTGCAGATGCACCTCGTGAAAGATTCGTAGGAGTACTAGGCATCATACTCGCTGCTGTATGTGAGTCCTGGTTGGTGATCTCTGGTGAGGTTGGCCTCGTTATCGGGTCCAGTTGCATCAGTCTGCACGGATTAAATAAATGTGAGCAAGTGAAGACTACTTTAAAGCTCTATCGCATTGGGGTTCTATCTTACCTGGGAGTGCGAGGAAGACGAAGATTGGCCAGTGACCGTGTGCCGGGGGAATTCAGTGCGTTTTCTCGAACGTATTGAAGTCCTGGAGTCCTCTTGTCTTCGTCGTATAATGGTGATCGCGGACTCAAGTTGGAGACTCTGTGTCTTCTGGGGCTCTCGGTGTGAGACTGCGTCGATGAATCCTCGTGTGGCTCAGGCTCTGGGACCAAATCCTTTCCAGGTCTTGAGACTGCCATTTTCGGTGTTGAGGGAAGTGAATGAGAGCCCTGTTGGTTGCATACTGGCCCGACATAATCGACTTGTACCTCAGCAAGGCGTTTGATCCGATGCTTCGAGCTTTTTGCTTTCGTCTTGGTATCAGCTGCGCGAACAAACGGATGTGCGAGGAGCTGAGCAATCGTCCCTCGATGCTCTGGATTTCGCTGGAGACAGAGCATGAGGAACGAGGCGGTCTACTCAACCAGCGATGTCTGGTTAGCACGTTAACTTAAGACTAAGGAGCAGAGCGGACGTACCTCTGCTGAGACGTCGGCTGGGATAGTTGGCGTGATATCACTGGACACGATTTGATACATTGCTGCGAGCGGGTTGCTGAACTGCTGCCACGGTGACTGACCTGTGATCATTTCAAGCACTGCACAACCGAGACTCCACACGTCAGCACGGAACCAGCGCTCGTGGTTACCATCGTCCTCCATATTCTGCTGGCGGATCACTTCGGGTGCCATCCAGTGGGGTGTGCCCTTCAGTCCACCAACAAGTGAGGCACAACCGACGACTTTGAAAGTCCCGAAATCCGCCAGCTTCACATCTGCACAAGAACCATCGTCCGGTCCGCCCTTCGGTGCAGTCAGTAGAATGTTCGCACATTTAATATCTCGATGTGCGATGCCGTTCTGGTGCAGGTATTGCAGAGCCTCACACAATTGACGGGAGTAGCGCTTGACTAGCGCCAGTGGCAACGCACCAGAGCGGGACAAACGTGAACTAAGTGAACCACCGGCTGCGTACTCCATGTAAATCCGCAGTTCGCTCTGCTTTTTCTCTGTGGCTTGCAGATAGCGGACCAAGTGTCGGTGTCGCAGTCGCTTCATGGTCTTCACCTCTCTCTTGATCGCTTCCACTGCGGGAGGAGGCAACTCTCTCGTCCAAATAACCTTCACAGCCACCTCTCGACCTGTGTTGGTCTCTACATAGCGGTAGATGGAGCCTTGCGCACTGCAGAGTAATACCACCAACAAGACTGTGTCAGGGCTATTAAAGCAGTACATAGTCTACATGCAATTATGCGATATACCCCTGTCCGATCTTCTCTTTGCGCACCCACTTCTTGGCTTTGATCTCTGGGCTGCTAATGCTTGTGCTTGCAGTTAAAGGGCTCTTTGCGCAGGGCGAAGGTGAAGCAACTCCAGAAGCCCAGCTATTGCAGCTGCCGACTGGTGAGTGCTCTGGTGATGGCGGAAACATGAGCGAGTATTCATCTTGTGGGAAATCAAGCGCCAGGCCTCCACGACCACTGCAGCTCGACAGTGCGTCTTTCATGTTGACAGATGAGCTCGAGGGAGCAGACCACCGATGTCCAAACACGCAGCACTAGCAACTCCGTTGTAGAGATAAGTTAGCCCCAGAAACTCATCCAGAGCGCCCAAATATATCGTTCCACGCCGTCCCATGGCGCAACTGCACCGAGTTGTCTTGTCCGAAACAGTTTGTCGTGTACAGATGCCCTTTCGTGGACTCAGACTGAATCAGAAATTTCTATTTCTAACCTTTACAAGAACACAAGTGTTGTCCTTGTAAAGGGTTTTAAATTTGTCCAAGAGTCTGTGGTCCTCATTGGCAGAGCAGACCAGCGATCATGGCCAAGGTACGCACGAAGAGACTTGCTCTTGACGCTGTAAATGTGCAGGAAGGGGACGTCAATATCCACGCAATTAGCTGCGTTTTGTCGTTCGAATGACGTCGCTTTTGCCTGGATTCATCCTGAATCCGCCGAGTTATCGCCCTGCACACAACGGCTTAGAGTGCAGAACTGACCGAGCTATCCGATGATGCTTATTTTATCGCAGGGAAAAGCCAAGAACGTGGTGATCAAAATGCTGAGTGCAGCGGGCACTGGGTGAGTCCAGTTCAACCCTTTTTCGAGGCCGTCGAGTGCCTACTGACGCTCTTCTTGTGTGCAGCTTCTTCTACACCACGACCAAGAACCCGCGCAACGTCACCAGGAAGCTCTCTCTTCGCAAGGTACTACCACTAATAACTAGGAGGAGAGAGGAGGATTTCCGCTTTTATTGACTTGTTGGTGGTGCGTTTTTCGCCGCAGTACGACCCGATTGTCCGACAGCACGTGATTTTTAACGAGACCAAGATCAAGAAGGGATAAGCGCTAGGTGTCGTCAGGACTAACATGCGTCTATTACGGTCGCTTTTAGAGATTCGGGCCTGTGTGCGGGTCGCTTAAACAGCAATACGCATCCTCCCTTGTGACACTGTATTCGTCTACAAAAGTCGTCGCCCTTTGATCATAAAAGTATGACTAGCATCCGACGCTACGACGACGTCGGCACCGTCGATAATAGGGGGATCTACACGATCAGGAGCATCTACGATGATCAGATCGGACGGAGATACTAACTCGGGTTTCTCGCTGAAAAACTCGTGCTGAAGTGCCGCACGAACTGAAATGCGCTTCTTCGGGTCTAGCTGTAGCATTTGAGACAGCAACTCAACACCAGCAGGCGACAGCATTGAGAACTGCTCGGTCAATGGCGTCGGGTTCGTGTCCTTAAACCGGAGGAAAAACGGCAACTCGCTGGCTTCGTCCCATCCGTTTTCTGCCGGTGACCCCAACGCAGCGAAGATCTTGCTCAGCTGGTCGATGTCTGAGGATCCGTCCGCCAGTGGACGTCGCAGCAGCATCTCGGCGAAGATGCAGCCAACAGACCACATGTCCACTTCGAACCCATAGCTCTCTTCGCCGAAGAAGATCTCGGGAGCTCGATAAGCCCTGGTAACTACCTGCACGGATCTCTTTGGCTTCTTCTCGCTTGCTGCGTCGCCATCTGTATCTCCATCTTCGTTTTCCTTCTCTATCACAGTAGCCATGCCGAAATCGGTAATTTTGGCAATGTGCTGCGCCTTCGAGAGCAGCAGGTTGTTGGGCTTCAGATCACGGTGTAGAATGCCGCGTGAATGGAGCTCCTGCACGCCTAGCAACAGCATCTTCAAGTATGCCTTCACCTGCGCCACTTCGAGCATCGGAACGCTCTCCGTGGCGCCAATCAACGTCTCCAAGTCACTATCCATATGCTCCAGTATCAAGTAGAGCTTGTCATGACGCTCCACGACCTCGAGCAGCTACAATTCGTCGCATACAAACAGCAGAGTCAAATGTCGTCAGCTCCATCCGCACCCTTGGCGCCAGAGCGCTGTACTGTACGCACCTGAACTACGTGCTTGGCACCTTGACACTTGGAGAGGATGTCAGCCTCGTGGCGCCCCACCTTCAGCGACCCGAGCACCTTCTTAATAGCCACCCGCTCTCGGGAATCGGCATGGTACCCGAGATACACGGTGCCATAAGTGCCGCGCCCGATCTCTGCATGCTTCTCGTACGCGCCCAGACGCTTCCGCGCGTCACTGCCCATCCGGCGCTTCATAGTCGTCTGCAGCGTTCTGAGTGGGGCTATTTTGGGTTGGCAAACCGCTTTTCGGCCAATCGTGCGCGAGCTGGGACGCGGAGGTGCAACGACAAGTGGATGCGGGCAGGCTCAAGCCAGTACGATCGCCGGCGTCGACAGAAGGGGGCAGGGGCAGGTGGCGGGCGATTCGTTTAGTGACGTCGACCTTTGCGTCTGAGTATGGTGTCGCCGTTTGGAACCCGTCGCCCCAAAAGGAGCGAGAAAGAGAGCGGCGAGAGGGAAAGAGAGTGAGCACAAGCGGTCGGCCGTTCTCGGCTGGGGTTTCTGCCATTCTCGATCGCTTCTGGCCGCCCCCACAGACACACAGACGCCCCAACTCTCCGGAGCACTCCCACATACACATACCGACACAGGCCCACGATGAAGAAGTCAACGAAGAGCGTGCGATGGTCCACCGTGACAGTGTATGAGTTCGGCGTAGCACTGGGAGGCAGCGCCGTCCCGCGCCGCGGCGGCCCGTCCATCGGCTTGGCCCGCACACCGCAGCAGGTGTGGAGCACGACGCTGGATAAGGTGCGGCGCTGCGGGGACCTGGCGCTCACGCGGCCGGGCTCCGCTGGAGACGCCGATGACACCGAGCAGAAGGAGAACGCAGACACTTTGGACCGGAATGAGCAGCGCAAGCGCCGGGTGCTGCGCGCACGGAGAGTGCGTTGGCTAAAGCCGCTAGAGCGCATCACGATGCTGACCAAGGCTGGCTGCAGCGAAGAGCGCATCTACCGCATGATGATGGAGAGCTCCGACATCGCCATGTCCAGGAGGCTCTGCGTCTCGATGCAGCGGCAAGTGGCAGCATGAAGGCGTGGAATCTCTCACGTCTGGCGAGCAGGGACGAAAGTGGATGATATCGCGCTGGTTGGCGCCGCTACGCACCAAAGAAGACCAGAAGGTAGTAGAGTATGGATGACAATGAAGAACTATTTACTGTGTACTAAGGTGGTTTAGCTGTTGTTCCTACGATGCTGTTGGGCATCAGTTTGTCTTGGTATCATCACGGCTAAACGTGGTGGTGACTAGCTCACAGCCCCGTAATGTGGCATTGCAAGGTCCCTTTCTTCAACAGAGACCTGGAGCAGGATTTCGTCGCCCGTATACGTGCCACAAGACTTGTGTAAGGTTGAATTACTGCATTATTATAAGTTAAGGTGTTCATACTGTCTGCTACAGAGCTCTATCGTCTCGGTCTTCGTCATCCTAGAGTCGTTTACTCCAGCACTGCGTCTTGCTGCCTCGGGCTGTCGTTGGCACGCGCAAAACTGCAACTTAAGCCGCGCACTCGATACGCAGACAGAGCCTCCGCGACTGAGCGATGCTGGACGACTCCATGAGCATGCGGAAGATCCGTTCCTCGCTGTAGCCCGCCTTCTCCAGCATCGTGACGCGCTCCAGCGGCTTGAGCCAGCGCACGCGTCTGCGTCGATGTCGTCGAGTGGTTGCAGGCCTATACTCCGCTTGCGTCTTCTCCAGCTGATGCTGCACTGCGTCCACCGACGTGCTCCAGACACATTGTGGAGTCCTGGCCAGCCCTACTGCTGGACCACCACGTTGAGGAACAGCACTGCCGCCGATACCCACGCCGAACTCGTAGACTGTGACGGTAGACCATCGCACGCTCTTGGTCGCCATGGCTGCTGTGTGTGTATGTGGCTGTGGGACTGGAGCGAGGAAGAATGGAGGAAAGACCCAGAAGGCGCCGGCTGCATGCCGTTCACGCGTCCCTCCCTCCCTGCCCCCACCCGCCACTCACTCGCTGCTTATTACGGCGCCGATGCCATGCAAGTCCCAGGATTTGGTGGATCAGCTCCGTCCACTTACAAACACTAAGTGACTCGTTTCTCGACACTTTTTTCCCAGTCACCGCGCAGTTCAACTTGGTCCGCTTGCCCTAGTCGCGCTCGGCCACCAGCGGACGTATCGCGTAATCCGAACATTTTTCGCAAGAGGGCGGCATTTCGCCGATTGACATTGCAGTGGCAGCGGATACAATTATCTTCTAGCGGGCACCACCCTACAGCAGCTATTCGTCGTGTACTAGGCTGCAAGACTTGACGTCGCTGAAATTTACAGTAGGCCATCGCTGCTCGCATTCGAGGAGATCACTTGCTCGATTTATTTTGCAACGTGATGCCGTTTTCCCAGCTGTCGCCTTCCTGGTGTTTCCGGCGTCAAATGACTCGCGCATGGCCATGCAAATGGCAGTCAGGAGGAAATGCTGGATTTAGGTCACCGCGCCAATGGCACTGCTGAACACTGTAGTCTACAGCGGTGGCAGCGGTGGCAGCAGTAGGAAGGTGAGTGCAAGCTGCACGTAGATCGCTTCCGTGCTGGTCGTTTTGGGACGGGCAAGCAAGTTGAGGCCGACATTTTTTTCGGTTCGTCTGCAGCAGATCGCTACATCACCCCCGCTTTAAAACTGTCAGCGTCACTGTCTGAAAACCAGCTCCCTCTAAATACCGACCTCATCGAAATTAGAAACGCTTCTGCAAGCCTGCGCAATGAAATGCAGCGACGCGTTCTCAAAAGCTACCGGCGCCGATGGAGGATCCCACCAACGTTGTGTGCATGTTCCCGATATTCTTGGCTACCGCCGCTCAATGAACCTGAAGCACTACTCGTTAAATAAGCTGAATAAGGTTCTGGCGGTTGCTACAAAAGTATACAGAACCGGATACTGAGGTGGATGGCTGCATTAACAAGGTGGCTTCAGCCGAAAGCGTCGCAGGTAGGCAGAGAAATCCATGACGGCGGCAATGGCAGGTATCAAGTGACAGAGTGATTCATGTATGTAGCTCGTATTGATAGCGATATCCTACTTCGTATAATAAAGATCAAATAACTTACGGTATTCCCCTCTACGATCAGTGCAACAGCGGGGAGGCGGTTCTTCGATCGACGCCTGTCCGATGAGCAGCTATATGCAAAAATCCCAGGAGTGCATCCGTGGCATAGTTTTCTCTGGTCACAGTGCGCTGGTGACTTGCTTGGTTACATGGGGGGTTGCTCGCTTACACGTAGTTGACCGGGATCATGTGCGAACGGTTGAGAAATGGAGACACGCAGGCGGAGCGAGGTGATTCGACCTTGCACTGTTGCTGCTGCTGTCGACGCTGCTTCTTGGCCTCTTTCCGCTCAGCAATGTCCTCTACGAGTGTCCTCCGGCGCGAGGAGTTGATGATGTTGGCTTCCCGCGAGAACCGCAGGATCATGCCCTCGCTTACACCGGCGCTCTGCAGCAATCGCACGCGCTCCTCAGGTGTGAAGCGGTGTACGCCTTCCACACATTCGGCCATCTCGCCTACCTTCGTGGTCCACGTGAACTCGGGCTTATCGCTCAGACCGATCGACGGGCCGCCCTTGTCGGGCACCGAGCTGCCACCCAGTCCGACGCCAAACTCGTGAATGGTGATGGTGGACCAGCGCAGGCGCTTCTTCATCTTCTTAGGAGACTCCTCGCAGTCGCGGTCACTGGCGACGGAAGGGCTACGCTGGCGCTTTCTGCGCCTCTCGGGCGAGGTAGGTGCAGCAGTGGAGGAGGAGGTGACCTCAGTTGGTGTGGAGCTCTTTGGTGCCGTCGAGGGCGATGAGAGCTGCTGGCTCATGGGAACGTCGGTCCCTTCGTATACGTCGACTACGTCCTTCGGTGCCATGGCTCTGATGTGAGGAGGAGGTAGATCTAGAGCGAGTTGAAGTAGTGGGGGCGCTGCCGCTGCTTGTTGTGCTTCGCTTTGGTGGTGGGTCCGCTCTTCGAGTTGTGCGTCGTCTCTGGCTGTTTTGACTCTGGTTTGTTTTGGGATGTGACCTGTATCTGGTGCGGCGGACGGTGGGCGGACGCATCCCGTTTCTGTGCACAAAACTCGATTGTTGCAAGCTGCGTTCACTGAGTGGATCGTCCCCTACTCGCGTCCGCCCTGGCGCCACCAACCGGCGCACCGGTCTAGTGAATTCTCAAGTACAGTGGAGAATGAGAACGCTGCGCTAGTGAGGCTTTGTTCACTTGTGCCAATGCGCAGCACATTCGAGTTGATATAGTCACCCTAGCTGACGTTCATGCAAGCTCTGCCGGCCAGGCGAATGCATATTGTACACGGCAGGGGTACAAATTCGCTGGTCGTTTTGTGTGAGCCAGCTGAAAGGATTTCAAGTTTAAGTCAGTTCTGAAAGCAGACTTGCTGCTGCAGCAAGTCCGGTGCTGCTTGGCGTTGAAGCGTGACACCGGAGCAGAACAGCACAGTCAAATTGTGAACCTCCGCCTAGGCGATTTCAGAGACACAAACTGCGTTACCTTTCTGCTCACTGAATGGATTGGTTTGCCAACATGGTGAACTGTCTTTCAGGGTCCAATCGTGAGATCGGCGAGGTGCGGCCTTGCGTTGCAGAAGTCCGCCACACGCCTTTCGAGCGGTTAATTACACACAAGCTAGCATCACGCCGCTATCGTCCGTCACACTGACCGTACCGCAACGTACACTGCATCGGGGTCATACCACTTCATTAGTTGGCTGAGTCGGGGCAGCAATGGCGTCCTCATCGGATACTCTCAACATGCAGTACAAGCCAGAGCAATGGAGCGCTGTGTACGTGCGCGACCAGAGACTTTTCCGACAACAGCAGACGAGCTGCTGTCGCACATCGTGTGGTTATTTATCACCGGCACGAATGAAATGGCTCTCATCCACATGCTTCCGTAGTCGATCGTAAAGTATCCGATCTTCAAAGGTGTCACTACAAACTGTACTGCACCAATAAGTATCGTAAAGTGAACTGGGTAATGGGAAGGCTGGATGCATTCTCTAAGTGCTGTTCTAGCCTATTTGCACTTGCCTGCAATCACGCAGGACCCAGTAGCGAGGCGTTTAAATCCTCCTTGCGGAGACCAACCGGGCGGTCTTTCAACTTCACGTACCATTTCAAGTAGATGAGAGGCAGCGTGACGGCCAATATGGCTACTAGCACGAGGCTCTGAGTCCACGCCTTGGAGACAACGCTTACAGCAAGAATGTACAGCGCCAATTGAGCGACGACGATCAGCCCCGTACATGCCAGATCGGTGTGATTTTCCGAGTCAATTTCAGAGATCACCTCCTGTGTGAAGCAGATGTGCTTGATCTTGTGCCAGGTACCCGGAGGACGAGCGAAACGGTAGAACCGTCGAAGCACCTTGTCAGGCTCGGGTCGTGTCAATAGACAGACAACAATGGAGATAACCCCAGAGATCGACGAAGTGATGACGAAAGCTCGAAACTCCTCGAGTAAAGGCGCAAAGCTGTTGGTAAATAGCACACATTAGTTCAACATAGTATAACATCGAAGATAAAAAGCAACGTACATGAACACGGCGATCGCTGCGATATACCCGAATGCAATGCCGAGTAGACAGCTATAGGCGTTGAAGCGCGCCCAATACCACGAAAAGAAGAAGGGCCAGATAAGGCCACCCGCCATCGCTATTGTCATAAAGCCCCAGATCCGGTTGATCGTGCTCACATTCAACGAAAGCAAGAGGCCAGCTAGCATAACAACAGCCGATGACAGTCGCGCGTGCCACAACAACTGACGTTCAGAAGCCTTCGGGTTAATGAGAGCCTGATAGATATCCACAGTCCAGTACGAGGACGAGCTGTTGATAGTCGTGTCGAAGGTAGTAAGCGCTGCTGCCAACAACGAAGCCAAGACGAACCCCTTGGCTCCAACAGGCAACACCTTGTTAATCACAATAGGCACGACGCGCTCCGGATCCACCACCACGCCCACGTGTTGCATCGAATAGTGAATCCCCATAACTGCAATACCAGCGCTGAAGGCCCAACGTAGACTCAAGAAAATCATGGCTAAAAACGTCTGCGACCGCACCTCACGCTCCGATTTGGTCGCAAGTACAGTTTGCAGCCCTGATCCTCCAGGACCGGATGCTGATCGCATCATTTGTAGCAATGAATACGATACCAAAATGAGACCGAATGAGTTGTACATGGAGTACGAGGCCTCGTCTGGTAATCCCAGGGAACTTGGAGGCACGGCCGAGACCCATTCGCTTCGCGTGGTGTTCACTTCGATGTACTCCGGTTCATCACGCACCGATTTCCCCGGTAGAAATACCGAAAATTGATCTGGAAGTTGCGCCATGAAGCCCATAATTGCAACAATAATGAACGACGCGAAGATGAAGAGACTCTGGTACACGTCAGTGTACACAACAGTGGAGTAGCCAGAAGCGATGGTGTACAGCATCGCCACAGCCATCAACAAAGCCGCCGCCCAGAACTCGGACGGTAGCCCTCCCCACTCTGGCAGCTTTACAAACTCCGTGAAAAACTTTCCTGTTGTGAACGCAACGCACAAAGGTTATTTATTGATAATCATCTCATTATCTCCAACCAAACTTACCTCCACCCACAGCAAAATACGTAGTTGCGAGGATACCGCTTGTCAGGGACGTTATAGCGATGGTAGTCCGGAGCAGAACAGCATCGAGGCGGGTCCCAAACCGGAATTTGATCCTGCAGCACAGGCCAAGAGACAATTAGAGCATGCCGCCACACTTTTCTACCAATTATACTAAATACCATTCTCCTCTCGTCTTAACTGGACACCGACGCGACAGCTTGCCGGTGTAGGCTAGCTGGAAGGCCAAGAACAGACATAGACCGCCGCGGATCTCAATGTACATGCCCTTAACGCCCAGTGCGTAGACTAGCGCCGTGTTGATCATGGTACCCGATATGTCGATGTACGAGCTCACATCGGCCACGGCCAGCGCATACCAAGGGATGCGCCGCCCTCCGAGGTAGTATTCTTCTAGTACATCGTCGTTCTTGGCTGGTTTGAGGCTGTGAGGAGCGTCGAGGCTTTTGGGGTCTCTGGCTGCCGCGTCTATTAGCGCTTGGTGGTGCAGACGCGTCAGACGAAGTCTCTCACGCTCACGCTGCTCCCTGGAGGTGAAGAAGAGACCCACGAGAAGTACAGAGACCAGGTATCCGGCACACAGCGCCAGGTCTAGCGTGCCCAACTCCACGACGAGGACCATGGTGACAGGATCCTGATGCATGCAAAGGGGGAAATGGTCGGAAAGGGTACAGTGTACCGTTTTTCAAGATTACGGCCATGAAATGCTTAGTCCGAGTGGGATTGAAGTTGGATGGAACTTGAAGTTTTATTTTATACGACCAACTACAGAATTTTCACTTTGTACCTTTGATTTCAGTTCACTCATGGTTGACTGTAAAGTCAGGTACTTCTCACGAATTAGCGATTTATGATTAAAGCTATTGATTTTTTTTTATTTATTAAACATGTTAGTATACAGCGTGGGGAGCCAACATTATGCGTCTCTACCCCTCCTCCCCTCCCCGCGCGCACATAGTTTTTTTTGTCAAGGTGTATCAAGTTACTGAGAATTGTAGCACTTGAGTTATGATACCCAGCGCGCACATAGAGATGAAACGCGCACGATGGTGTTCCCCTCTACGATCAGTGCAACAGCGGGGAGGCGGTTCTTCGATCGACGCCTGTCCGATGAGCAGCTATATGCAAAAATCCCAGGAGTGCATCC